TATTGTTATTTGGATAGGTTGAACTGTTATGAAAAGAATTATATCTTGTTATTTGGATAGGTAGAACTATCATTTGAAACAATTTTTTGAGTCATCAAGTCGCCAATAGTTAAATTCAGTGACAAGCTGCATTTGGTACATTCTTCACTTGGTACATTCTTCACGAACTCAAGGTTCTAACAATCTTGGAAAGAGAAAAAAACAAAGTAGCATGGTTAAAAGCCATGGTGGTTGCATAACTTTAATGGTCATGAAAGAAAGCCACAAAAATAGAGTTAATTCCCGTGGTTAAAAGCCAGTCAGGATTTTTTCCTTTGATTTTCTGGGTGAAGGACGATAATAAAAGCGGGTTAGGGGAATAATTAGAGGGAAAGCATGTGTTTCTAGAAGAGTTAAGGGGCTAGGGTCTTTTCGAGTCTAATCCTAAGTGGGAAATAGTCCCTAGGCTACAGTAACACCCTCCTCCCCGTCTTTATTTAGTCCAAAATCTAGGACTATTTCATTTTAAAGGACTAAATAGTCGGACCTAATCCCCTCCAAAAGTTTGAACCAAACACATTATTATTTTACTTTAAAGGATAAATTACCTCAAAATAATACCCAATTCAAATATGGCTTGAACATATTTAAGAAATCGCTGCAAGTTTGAGAGCCTCAAGAATAGCTTGAGCTTCGACGATGACTGAAAATCATGACTCAAGTTTTCCTGTTGAAACATATGACCCCGCCTTCGCTCATAAGCCCGATTAGACTAGAAAATGATTGAGGTTGTCATGATTCTTATGAAGATTCATGTACATTTTGTAAGATATGTTGGTGGGTGTACCTTCCTACCTGATTCATGTGTGAAGTTTAAACCTGTTAGCATGCTTGTCATAGACAATCGGTGTTGCGGAATGGCAGGAAATTTGTATGCTTGTCATAGACAATCAGTGTTGAGGAATGGCAAGAAATTTTATAACTCATCTAATGATGGCACAAACATCAATAGGGACTTGATAAAAGTATGATTCCATACCTTACTTTCCGTAAACATCAATAATAGCTTGGGCGCTTGCAACTTCTTTGCATTTAAACCACTACAGGCTGCGATCTCAAAGTCTACCAGAGTGATGGATATGCGAGAGGCTACAACATTACAGACTTGACATGTAATGGTGCAACCAAACAAGAAATGATGGAGTGCTTTGATATATTCTCTACACAACACATAATTCGGCTCAATGACGAGTATCATTGCGGAGCGACGCACGCTCGGTAGTAGAATGTTGAACAAAGAATGCCACACAAAGTGGTTATGTTGGGGTTGACATCAATAATCTCCTTATAAAAACTGTTATTGTACGATCATGGGAAGGTGCTTGAAGAGTGGTGGATCAAATAGCATATTGACCACAGGGTCAATCTATATTTTTCATCCCTTTAGATTTCTTAGCATTGTTTTGTGAAGTCCTTAAGGAATCCTGGAAGTGCCTCTACACTTACCTATTACTATAAGTCTTTAAGGAAACTTCTTTCCTGGAAGTGCCTCTACATTTACCTATTATTATATTTAGTGAAATGCTTGTTTTTAGGCATGTCATATTCACTTTCAAAAAACCCAATAATACCCGCAAAATTTATATAAAACTTGGAAATTAGTTTAAAGACAAATTTGGGAGGAAATCCAATAAAATTTCTAGTCTACCGAAATCACAGTTTTTTTAAAAACGCCATGTCCTACAAATTACAACTAATTGCAAACATGGAAGTTACTAAAGATAATCACTTATTGCAATCTCCAGTCCCCCACATTTTAGATCTCATTAAAAAAAATCACCAACGAACTTCTCCCTTCCATCTTGATTCTGTCCACTTCAAAAAATTTTGATTCTTGTCCTCCAAAAAACCTAGTCCATAATTTGAATTTTCATATTGTAAATAATAGATTATGTTCCTTTCTCCTTTTATTACTGTCCTCATGCTTGCTTTTACACATTAATGGATAAAGTCAAGCAATGTTGAAAATAACAATAACAAATAACAGAATACTCGCCTCCCAATAACGTAAAATACAAAACAATGTAACACATAACGTAGGTTATATGTCTTTTATTATTCATTTATATATTTAATAAATAAAGTATATTCAAAATGACTTTAATAAGTAGAATTATCACATTTTTCAAATATAACATCATAATTATTAATTATATCATCATAATTTCTCAACAAAGATATGTCATAAATGCTTAAAACCAATCCAAAAAAGCACATGAACTTCAAATTTAAAACAAAAGGAGAAAGAAAATACTCTCATGTCTATAATAAACTATATTCAAATAACGTATGTTATACTAAAATAATGCAAGTTATATTGAAATAACGCATATTATAGTGTAATAATGTAGAATTATGACGTGTCTGAGTTATTTCAGTAGGTTAATATTTAGGGTCTGTTAGGTCACATAATGCAAAACAATGAGTTACATAACAGGTATTTTTCAACAATGAACTCAAGATTATTATGCCTGTGCTTTTAATTAGGCATCGAGCCAACAACTAAATTCAGGATTCCTAGTGACGATTGCAACACCAAGCATCAGATAGTCACTCCTTGCACTGTCATTGTTGTGAGGTTTGATTTTTTTTATTTAAATCTGATAATGTTTGCTCATTGTTGTTTGTTTTCTCTTTAATTTGAGCAGATCTTGAAATTTTTTATGGTTAACTATTGGTCTTTTTTTTCTAATCGAGTTCTTTAGATTTTTTTTAATCAAGTTTGTGAGTATTGAATGACATGTCAGAATTGTTCAGGTTTCTTTTGTTATTTTATTTCCAATCCTACCCTCTTATGACACGGTGGCATGATGTGGGTGTGTTTCTCGCAATCAAACCTTACCGGCGATGACGATTCGCATCATTCTTTGATAAGTCAACTAATGCACTCCCCTACATAACGTTAGTCCATGCATCATGTGCACTAGAGTACTAGTTCTTTATGAGGAAAACTTCCTCCGCTATTGAATTTCTCCATCTCAAACTTTCTTTTCGTGTTGTTTGTCGTAATATGAAAATCCTAAACTTCTCTCAAGCATATTATCAATGGTTTTGTACATAGAAGAGAACTGGATCCAACTACCATTACATTGCTACCAATCATAAATATTGAATGATCAAGTGTACACCCTTAATTACGAACAAAGAGGGGAAAAATCACGCAACACAATAGCATTACTTAATGTCATAATATACTAACATCCACAAAAGAGAGTGAGAAGTTTACTTCTTATATAGGCAAGGATTAAGTTTTTTTCTTCTCATAGCCATCATTCACAATAATATTCCTTTAAATGCATGGATAATTTGTTTGGCAATAACTTCAAGATCCTCAGAAGGAGGATCTATACATGCCGTTTTCTTCAAGATCAAGTTCGTACAAAAATCTTTTTCCCTATTTGAACTTCTACATTATCTTGGATCTGAGCATCTGTTCCCTTGAAAATCATGCATGCATATTCACAATAAGATGCTAGAATCTAAAACCAACTTAAACTTCACTTCTAGTAGGTTTGGAGAATTTTGTTTTCCTTTCCCATATGTTGAAGTCAACCCTTGTCTTTGTATCAAAGAGATCTAAATATAGAATGTCATAAGCCTAACCAAACTTAATTTCCTATTTAGTATTAATAAATTTTTCAATTGGTAAACTTTCAGTCTAAGTTGAGTCTTTTTTTTTTGACTTGATACAAGTCAGAAACAAGGTCTACCTTGACTTGTATCCAAACCTTCACACAATAAAAATGGTTCATCATACCATGCTTCATCCTTGTTCATTTCCTATACATGTTTTATGCCCCCATTTAACATTATGCCAAGCTAAATGGTACAGAAGATTGATGAGAGAGAGAAAAAACTCCAGCTTGATTCCTAATTGTACAAAAGTAAAAGTTTCAAGCACACAAGCATGTTAAACATGGCAAATATATACATCTAACATTATTTTTGACAGCACATTAATGGACAAAAACATTTATGTCAGGCTGAGTTAGTGCAACGATAAGAAATAATAGAATATATATTTAAGAAATGACGTATAAAAGCTGATATTGTTTGGATGTTCATGTTGTATATAAAGCCGGGTAGGATGAAATGATACACAGACCTGATTCATACGTTTATACTACTTTCAGGTTAATGTTTACAAAAGTGAGCACATAGCCCGCCTAAGCCCGAGCGGTACCTAGGCCACCCACTCAGGTCTTGCGAGCACCTAGGGGAGCATGGGCCACTTATGCAGACTGCACTGCTTAGGTTTCAGTTGTGTTTTCCTCCGTTCCTACCTCCATGTTCTCCAACCTCATCCGGTCTCCTCCACAGACTACGAACACCTCCTCTACCTCATCTGACCTTCAGCAAAACCTCTCTCACCACTACTCAAACAAAAAGAAATTCATCTAGGTGTCCCACTAGACGTCGAGGCGCTTGGTGTCGGTCTAGCGCCTAGCGCGGATTGTAATATTATTTCAAGTGTAATGATTGACCACCCCTTCTGTGATCTATAACTTACCCAGACAACTATAAATCCAAAACAAACCTTTTTTACCATGTCTTAGTCAAATGCTTTTACCTAAATTTAGAGCTAATCTCAGTACTTTTGTATTATAATGTCAATTAACGATGTATTTCCAACTTAGAGATTCTTTTCAATTATTTCAAATGAGTTATCGTTTAAATAATGATCAATAAGAAGCACCAATAATATGGATTATTATAGTGCTAATTGTACATTTAAAAATGTATATATCAATGAGGCTCTAGAAACGGACAAACATACGGCAATCAGGTAGACAAAGAGATTCCAAATTTCAAAATCTAATTAAGAATAGCAGAATAGCTACATGTCAACATCTTACATGCACAAATATTGCATCAAACCTACTACACTATTAAACATCTAAAAGGCATTATCGAAATAAAATCCACAATACTTAAGACACAACAGTAATCACAGAACTTACTTTAGTCGCCCCTCTTCATCTATTGGAGGTGGCGTGATAAGGATAACTGCAGTATCTGGCCATCTCTCCTAAAAGCAAAACAAAAAGCATTAATTGGAGATAACTTAAGAGAAAATTAAAGGTTGTTACTTTTTCGAGGAAAAATTAGAACACAATGACCTTGTATGCAATACATAAATTTATTTTTAAGGAAAATATGCAACATATTAATATGCATGTCATCAGACTTGGGCTAGTTTTCTTGTTTTGTTAAATCAAGAATGCCAAAATAACTGAGCTGGTGAATCCCATACCTAGGTAACCAAGTAATAATAACTGCTATCAAAAGAATGCTTTCCTCGATACTGAAGTGCATAGCATTCTACATGTCAATACAAAACAAAACAAAAAAAATTCTTTTAATTTAGGAAATATAGAGAATAATCAACTCTGCATGATGCCGCGATATTTGTGTGGAAAAAGAAAAAGTAATTAATGGTTTAAGAATTTGGTTTGGAATCTTTTTAATTTATGGATAAAAATGCTTTTTGGGAGTTGCAATATGGATAAATTATTGTCAAAAAAGACAAAATTAATTATTTCGGAGCTTTAGTAGCAATAATTTTTAATCTTCCGATTAGCCGCTACATGTTTTTTCAATATTCTAAATGCATATTAAGTAGCCGCTTAAGCATCTGCTTATGTCTAAGCTGATTGGAACCGCTGCTATTTGGGAAAAGGAGTTCTATTATGTCATCATTTTACATAATCGGGCACATTTTTAGTAAGCGCTGATATTTTTTTTTCGCAGGCGCTTCTCTTTTGAATCCTTTCGGGGTTAAACTTGTTTACCAAAAACCCACTCTGACTACTAAAATAAAAAAAATCCTAACTTTAAATTTTTTCCCCAAGTTCCACTACACTCTCAATTCTCTCTTGTTTGAATCCAGTAGCTATGACAAATATCTCCAGCCTTCATCGATGCTTGCTTGAGCTCAGGCCCCTCACAAAAAGTCACTGGAAGATTGTACAACCTCCAACACTCTCCCTATAAGCTCTCCGACGAAAACCTTGAAGCTTTCTGCCGTTCCCTCTAAAGCTCTCCAACAAAATAGATTAATCAAAGCTTCTAAGTATATTCTCTATTTTTCGTGAATTTTATATATTTTGACATATGATAAATAATAAATATATGCTAACAATTCAACAAAATGCATAATTCTGCATAATCCGATTAATTGGCATAATCTGATTAATCGTTAAGCGCTCCCGAATCGCACACATAATAAAACTATGTTCTTGAACATTGTGTTTTTAGTGTTTCTTGGTCAGATTATGCTATCCTATGTTGCATGGTTAAGGGTGCGGACACTGGTACGAGTAAAGGTAAGGGACCCGACAAATTTGTAAAAAGTAAGGTATAAGGACACAACTAGATAAATATTTATATACACGTATATTATAAATTGGAACAAACAATTTATATGAGAATAAGGATAAGAATTAAAATTCTTATATAACATTTTTATGTTTTTATTATTATTATGTAGATTATAAATTAGAAAATCAATAGTTTTTGAACTAAACACCTAAAATGCCCTTTAAAATCATAATCTGAAACCTAACCTATGTCCAATGAGTTTTAAAAAGTGATGTGAAGTATAGGATATATGTACAAAATATGTATATGTACATAATATGTATGACAAGTGTTTTAAATTAAAGCATGTATTGCATAATTGAATACATGTTCAAAGAAATGTACACATATATGCAAGCAGTGTCCAAGGAATTTGGATACTAGTACGAGTACGTCTCTGGTACGGGTACGTGGTACGGGTACGCAGTGTTTTAAATGTCGGCCGACATGTCGGACATGTCGGCCGACATGTCGGGTTGAAGGTGCCAGCGACACAAGTCGGGCTTTCTTAAGTCGGATGTCGTTTTTGGGGAGAATATCGGATAAATCGGCGCAATATCGGCCATATCGGCCGATTTTTCAGGTTTGAAAAATCGGCCGATATGCTATTATATCGGTTTAAAGCTATTTTTTCTTAACAGTCAAATTACAAAACTGTCTCAGGTTGGCTTGGTGGTTGAAGTTTCAGGACTTGGGCACTTCTCTTTGTTAAATCCGATGATTAGTTTCATATCGAAGACCGTTTAGCATATCAAAGACCAAAATTGTTTCAGGATGCAATCGAGAATCAAAGTATGCTTATATTGAATTTAGAAATGCTTAGATTACATTTAGGACGTGGTATTATACATATATGCACTACCCGATATCGCAATCCGATATTTAGTCCATGTCCCCCGATATATCCCCGATTTCCGCTATCCGACATGGATTTCGGCCGTCCGACATGAACCCGACATCCGATATTTAAAACATTGCGGGTACGTCTCTGGTATGTGTACGACTTTAGATTAGAAGTACCCAGGTAACATAGACTCTACCCAACCACTTTTTCAAGAAGTGCTACATGTTAGGCCATTTAGCTCTTAATTTAAATACTAAGTTATTTTTTTAACTCTATTAGGATGGCTATATTTTGTACTATGTGACTATTAACCCGGTAGAATTTTTGTGTCAAATGACTTCAAGGACCGCTCCTCGGCCATAATTCTTGAGGAGTTTGATATTCTCTTATCTTCGTCCCTCGGCCATAATTCTCGAGGAGTTTGATATTCTCTTATCTACAAAATATTAGTTATCATATGTTTCTTTTGATTTAATATATATGCTTGAGGGATCCTCTCTCTATAAAATTATCACATTTGGTTACTATTGTGTCGATAACAATGTTCTTGGGAGTTGTATTTTACATAAATTAGTGTGGAAAAACCAAGAAAAAAATAATGGTTTTGAACATTTTATTTAGAAAGTTATTTCTTAATATGTGGATAAACATGTTTTGTTAAGTTGTGTTGTAGATAAATTAGTGCAAAAGAAGTCAAAAATGGTTTAAACATCTGATAATATTTTTAGTTTTGTGGATAAAAATATTTTCTTAGAGTTGTATTGTAGATAACCAAACACTATGTTTATATTTATATTTATACTTCTTTTTCTATTTAGAGCCACCAAAGTTTATTTGGTCTTGCTTCAGCCATGAGAGCTCATCAAAGCTCAGATTCATGACCGATTTACCCTAAGCACAAGAGAACACAGCTGCTCCATTATGTAAATTAATAATCTTAATGAGAAATGAAGATTAGGTTCCATTCTTGGTGACCTGAAGTAAATTTTGTTGTGTAGGGGAGAGAGGGTAGTTAGTGTGTGAATGACATTTTCTTTTTCTATTTGGCTTATTTTCATTTTGGTAACCCAAAATTTACACTATTTTTCCTTTGATACCTGAAAGTATCTTATTAAAACTTTGATATTTCATATTGATATCCCCAAAATATTGCTTTAATGAAGTGAGATCGAAACTTGGGGTCTTAAAATGTTAAAAAATACATGAGATATCAAAGTCAATGTGATTGAAACTTTGCGGTGTCAGTGTCAAAAAAATCTTGGGTATTAAAATGAATAGATGGATAACATTTGGGGTACAAAGTGAAAAATAAGTGTTGTATTTAATTTCTTTCTCATCTTTCTTTTTAATTTCTTTCTCATCTTTCTTTTTTTCTTTCTGTTTTTTTTTTTTTTGGTTGAGTATGAGAGACGAAGATGGTTATTCATAATTTAAATAATTATTTGGGTTTTTATATACCTCAATCTTTAAGTACTTCAAAATTAGTCCCCAAATCTTTTGAGTTGGGTGAAACTAGTCCCTCAAGGTAGCGTCAAGTTGAAAGATTTTGAACTAGTTCCAAAACACTTAGCATATGAGGGAGTAATTTCAAAATATGACTAATTTCGAAACACTTAAAATTTTGGGGGACTAATTCAAAATGTAAAGGTTGTGGGGATATATTTCAAATATGAAAGATATAGGGGACTAATAAAAAATTTCAAAATGCATGACTGTACGTTGTCCCATTAGTTGCTATCAATGTACTTGTTTTAAAAAAAATTACTCAAGGTTAGTGTAGCTTCAGTTGTATTCACTTTGCTCTTTTTTATTTTAGGGTAAAAGACCATTTCAGTCCCTGTACTAGGGCTCCATATTCAAATTGGTCCCCGTACTTATTTTTTTCTTAACTTCGTCCTTGTACCCCTAATTAGATGTAAATTTAGTCCTTATTTTAACTCTCCATTAAAAAACTCCACTAAATATGAATTAAAAGGACAATACTACCCTAACAAAATTAAAATGACCTAATTGCGCTTATTCATGGGCATATGCTTCCAAAAATGATTAACTTTTAGAGATATCCTTGAATGCTAAAAAATGCAATGTCTACTTAGCTTTGACCACTTGTTTGTAGTGTCATTTCCTTATATCAAATTCTTCTCTTTCAAAGAGATTAGTGAACACATCAACTGGCCGAGATACATGGTCATCATACAAACTTTCAATTGCTTATATGCCCATTGATATATGATAGTTTAAAATAAATACTTAATAATTATTGGAGTAAATTTTGTGGTCGCTTCTTTGCATGTATTATGCCTGATTGCATCAAATTATGTACTATTTCTCAAGGCCCCTGTTTTTCTTGGTCAAGTAGACCTACAATTATGTATGATAGAGTTTCTAGTGAAAATGCACAAAGAAGGATGCAACGAATTTAGAGTTAAAAATAGCTAAATTTTGGACAAACCTCCTTAACTTTGAGTGATTATCAGATAACTCCCTATGGCATTCAAAATATCAGAAAGCCTCCCTTAAATTTAAGCCCTTAAGTTATCAGAAAACCCTCTCTAACTTTTAAGATTTTATC